TAGGATTATTATTTTTTTTAAAATAGATTGATTAAATTGCTTATAATACTATTATATTATTACACACCAAAAAATAAAATATAATTTTGACCATGGAATTCAAGTTGACAACTATATTTCTATACTAATTTAACATATATATACAATTTTAATTCTTTATATAAATATCAAAAATTGTATGTAAATGTACAACTAATAATTGAATTCAAAACAATTTATAAGTCTTTATAAAATATTTTAAAATAAGTTGAACATTAAATAGGAGTAAAAACAAAAAATTAGCTGAAGGTATATATATTATTGGGTATAATTCTTTATATAGATATATAAAATTGTATGTAACTGTACAACTAATAAATAAATTCAAAAGAATTTAAAAGTCCTTATAAAAGTCCAAAATAAGTTGAACATATATATTATTGGGTATAATTGAATTTATTATAATAATTATGGTCAAAATAGAAAATTAAAAATTTTCATTTTCTTTTATATAGATATAGAAAATTGTATATAAGTATACTACTAATAAATGAGTTCAAAAGAATTTAAAAGACCTTATAAAATAGTTCAAAACAAGTTAAAAGTTAAATAGTAGTACAAAACAAAAATTAGAAGAAAGTATATATATTAGTAGATACAATTGATTTTATTATAATAATTAAGGATAAAATAGAAAATCATTGATATATATATATATATAATGATCTCCGCAGTGGTGCTACTCCAACACTCCGGTCGCGCCCCCACCCCCGCCCTTGCCTCCCTAACCAAGCACCCAAGGACGAATTTATTGGTGGGCTGAGGTGGCCTGAAGCCCAGGGTAAAAAACAAAAAAAATTTACCATTAAGTACCAGCCCAACCCTCCCCTAAAAAAAAATCTCATCCAACCCAACCCAGCCCACTGCAAAGCTTCCCCAATCGATCTCTCTCAGCCACTTCCCTCATGTCCTATCTCTTCTCTCTCAGTCTCAGGCGAGTCACTTCCCCGAATCTCTGGACAAGCAACAACTCCATGGCAGGCAGCGAGTCCCTCTATGCAAAACCCTGGTTTACGGGCTTCTTGAATCACACACAGGTTTATTTTTTTCTCTGGTTCACGGTGCTTCAGATTTCTCTACAACGGCTATAGATTTCTTGTTTGCGGGCTTCTTGAATCACACTCACACAGTTATTGGTTTTCTCTGTTTGCGGGTATGCAAATTTTTCTCTATTTTAGATTTCTTGTTTTCCATATCCATTGTTTGTGATGTACCGATACAGACAGTCTACTCTTCCCTCTCAATCCCATTTTCTTATGCGGGTTTTCTGGTTCTTTGCACCTAGTTTTGTTGCTTATTCTATTTATCTCATGGGTTTGCAAAAAAATTAGGATTAATAAGAATGAGGGCCAAAAACAGAGTGTTAGAATCACCAGGTTCTCGTATCACCATAGAAATGGTTGGTCTGAGGAAAAGGTTATGTGACCTTTTTAGATTTGGTAATCAAAACACTTGCCTGGTTAGTTCTCTATGTATTTCTCCAAGACCAAATTGGTGGCCTTCAAGTCCTCCATGAAAATAGATGGGTAGACGTGCCTTTTTTGCCTGGAGCTCTAGTGATAAACATTGCTGATCTTCTACAGGCAAGTATTTTTTTTCCCATTGATTTTGATTTTTACAAGTTGTTTCAACCTTCTGAGAAGGTCTAGTTATCTATGTATATTTCTCCATTGTTTGTGTTCATATGTATATAAGTATGTATCTATAAGTATGTATATGTATAATATGTAGATGTATAATATAAAGTCTGTATCTATAAGTATGTATATTTATAATATGTAGATTTCTCTTTTTCTTTTCAATTTCTTGCTTCCTCTATCTAATGCTTGTGTAACCCAAAATTAGATTTTTGGGGCTAGGTGATTTTTGGGGCAGAGGAACATAAAATTAGATTTGGTAATGAAATGTGTGAGGCCTAGGAATATCTATATACATCTTGTAGATTTTTGGGGCTAGGTGATTCTTGTTGATTTGTTTCTCTAGCACACGTCTCTAATTTTCAACCATTCTCTACTTTATTAGGTTGGAAAATCAAGAACGAAAAAGAGCAAAATTAATTTTTTCATTTTTCAAAAAGAAAAGTGGAGAATCAACATCAAATTCTAGTCTTGAACCTTTGAATCTAGTAGAAACATCAACAAGTGTTGATGTTCCTATGATTCCTGCGACTGTTGAACCTCAAGGTCTTCAACCTCAAACAAAAGTTCCAAGGATTCCTTTTGATGAGAATGGACTTGAACAAGATCCTGCATTGCGTATTCCGATATGGAAACATCCTGCTTATATTTAAGATGAAGTTAGACGTGCTTATATAAAGTGGGAACCAAATCAACCTATCTTGGCTGAGTATCCGAGGACTAAAACTGGAGTTCAAAATCGNCGATATGAAAACATCATGTTTATAATCAAGATGAAGTTAAACGTGTTTATATAAAGTGGGGACCAAATCAACCTATCTTAGCTGAGTATCCGATGACTAAAAATGGAGTTCAAAATCAAAGATTTCATAAAAGTTGGTACAAAAAATTTCCATGGCTAGAGTATTTTATTTTAAAAGATGCGGTATTTTGCTTTCCGTGCTTTGTTTTTCAAGGTCGTGAACCTCTACATCCTGCATTTATCGTTGATGNTTCAAAATCGAAGATTTCAGGAAAGTTGGTACAAAATATTTCCATGGCTAGAGTATTCTATTTCAAAAGATGCGACATTTTGCTTTCCGTGCTTTGTTTTTCAAGGTCGTGAACCTCTACATCCTGCATTTACCATTGATGGTTTTAATAGCTGGAAGAGAGTGAATAATGGGGCCAAATGTATTTTCTTGTCACATATGGGAGGTCCTGCTTTCACACACAATAATGCTGTGAGAAATGTTGAGGCGTTTAACAATATATCAGTGCACATTGATAAAGTTATGAATATTCAAAGTTTAGAAGAAATAAAGAGAAATCGATTGCGTCTTAAGGCTACCATTGATAGTGTTCAATGACTTACTTTACATGGATGTGCCTTGAGAGGTCGTGATGAATCTGTAATGTCAAAGAACCTTGGTAATTTAATTGAGATGATTAGTTTGATGGCAAAGTTGAATGATGAGATAAATAATGTTATTTTAGAGAAAGCTCCAGGAAATGCAAAGTATACGTCTCCTATGATTCAAAAAGATATTTTGCATATTCTAGCTACTAAAGTAAGAGAAAAAATCCGTGAAGAAGTTGGAAATGTCAAGTTTTGTATTTTGGTTGATGAAGCAAACGATGCATCAAATAAAGAACATATGACAATTGTTTTGAGATTTGTTGATGTTCAGGGTTTTTTGCAGAAGAGATTTTTTGAGATTGTGCATGTTAAAGATACCACTTCTTTAACTCTTAAGAAGAAAATATCAGAAGTTCTTATTCGACACAATTTGCATATTCGAGATTTACGAGGTCAGGGATATGATGGTGCTAGCAACATGCATGGTGCATTTAATGGATTACAAGTTTTGTTTTGCAATGATTGTGAATATGCATACTATGTTCATTACTTTGCTCATCGTTTACAACTTGCATTAGTTGCAACTACTGAAGATGAGATTTCAATATGACAATTCTTTTCCAAATTGACATGCATTGTCAATATTATTAGTGCTTTTCCTAAGCGTCATACAGAACTACGATCGGCCAAGCTACTGAGATTGAAAGGAGGACAACTAGTGGTGAACAAGAGACTGGTAAAGGGGCTAATCAGATGGATACTTTGCATCGAGTTGGTACCACTCGTTGGAGCTTACATCTTGAATCCATTTGCGGTCTGATAGATATGTATGATGTTATCATTAGTGTGTTTGAATATATGGTTAACGAAGGATCTTCAAATACAATTCGTGGGGAAGTTGGTGGTTCTTTAATGGCAATGAAGTTCTTCGATTTCATATTCATATTGCATCTTATACACAAGATTATGAGGATTACGGCTATGCTTTGTCGGGCATTGCAGCATAAATCATTTGATTTTTTGAATGCAATGAATTTAGTCTCATCGACAAAATCATTGCTTCAAACCTTGCGAGTAGAAGGTTTTGATTAGCTTCTTGGTCATGTGAAATCAGTTTGCATGAAATTTGATATCGATATACCTGATATGAGCACTTAGTACAATGGGGTAAGACGTTCATGTCAACAGAATGATAACATTACAGTTAATCATTACTATTACATGGACTTATTTAATGCTACAATTGATCATCAGTTAGAAAAGTTACATAGTAAATTCAATGACGAGACAATGTAATTGTTTATGCTCAACTCTGCTTTAGATCCTTAGGATAATTTTAAATCTTTCAATCCTGATCACATTTGTTTACTTGCTCAGAAGTTTTATGCAGTTGATTTTGATAGACAAGACACGCATCATTTGAAATGTCAACTGGATCATTATCAATTTGATGTGGTTTGCCATGAGAGGTTTCAAAATATGTCTACAATTTCAGAATTATGTTGTGGTTTAGTAGAAACAAATAAGGTAGAGTCATACAATTTGATTGATAGGTTGATTCGTTTTATTTTAACTCTTCTCTTTTCTACGACAATTTTAGAAAGAGTATTTTCAGCCATGAAACATGTCAAAAGTATTTTTTGTAATAAAATAGAAGATGAATATTTGACTGATTCGTTAGTTATTTATATTGAAAGAGAAATAACAGAAGTAATCGATACAAATTTAATAACAGATACTTTTTGTTTTAGGAAGAATCGAAAAATCCAATTTCATTAATAAGTATTTATGAATTTATATTTGTATTATTAAATATATGTTTATAATTTTAAATTTGTATTTTATTAGTTGTTTGAATGATTAACTTACCACGGACGCTGTCTTCTACGTCAACCTTATTCCCTCTATATTTTCGGTTACAAATCAACCGTCCTAACCCTTCTCTCTCCGCAACCCAACAGTTTACTCCCCAACCCAATTCCCCCATGGCCGGAGTGTCAGTGGCCGCCGAGTGGCAACTCCTATACAACCGGTACTATCGAAAGCCCCAAATCTACCAAATGCAGTGGAAACACGTGGACCTCAGCCGCAACAAGGTCGCCTGTGCCCCTTTTGGCGGTCCCATCGCCGTCATCCGCGACGACTCCAAGATCGTCCAACTCTACGCCGAGTCCGCCCTCCGTAAACTCCGCATCTTCAATTCCGCGGGCCTCCCACTCTCCGAAACCGTCTGGAAAAACCCAGGTGGTCGATTAATTGGCATGTCCTGGACCCACGATCAAGCCCTTGTTTGCATCACCCAAGATGGTATAATTTATCGGTACAACCTCCATGCCCAGCTCATGGAACCCAACCTACATCTTGGTAACGACTTGTCCACACATAGTGTAATCGAATGCGTGTTCTGGGAAAACGGCGTCGTCTGTCTGAGTGATGCTTACCAGGTTTTCTGCGTGTCGGATTTTCAGAATCCGCGGCCATGTAAGCTGGCAGACCCGGGGATCGAGGATGCTCCATTATGTATGGCGGTGATCGAGCCGCAGTACACAATGTCTGGGAATGTGGAGGTGCTAATGGCAGTGAGTGATCATGTGTTGCTGGTTGAGGAAGATGGGGTTCAGCAGGTGGGCATTGGGGTCGGGCCGTTGCAGAAAATGATGGTTTCGAGGAATGGCAAGTTGTTGGCTTCGTTTACCCATGATGGGAGGCTTTTGGTTATGGCTTCGGATTTTTCCAATATCATTTTTGAGCATAATTGTGAGGTTGGTTTTGTTGATTCTTCTTGTTCCATCTAGGCTTTGATTTATAATGTGGAATGGTCAGGTGCCATTACTTGATTTTTTCTACAACCCTTCTTTGCTGACAAGGTTTATTATGCACCTAGTTTACCCTTCCTAGTAACCTTTATTACCTAGAACCAAACTGAGTAGAGACACTTATCTGTAATGAGTCACACACTTGTTTGATACTACCAATGCACATAAATTAATTTAAATAATATTTTTTTATAAATATGAATTATATGTAGAATTAAATTAAATAATTAAATAATAAATTAGGTGTCGACTAATTAATCTAAATTTTATTATTATTTTATTCTATAAATTTTTCGGTACCTAATTTATCCTTAATTTAGGAATCTCTTTTTAGTTTGTTAAATAGATTGATTAGATCGCCTATAATATTATTATACTAGTCATAACTCGTGCCTCCGGGCACGATAAAATATAAAATCCGGGCCTCTAAAAAATCTATCCCATTATATTAATTTTTTTCAAAATACATTAATTACAAATTAATTAAATATTAAATAATTAAATATGTGATAGAAATGAGTGATGCGATTTGACATTTGAGTTTGACAAATGGATAATGGATGAGGTAAGTGATTGATGATAGTTTTGAGGGGGGAAAATATGACTGGGACAAAATTCAAACACACTCCTGTTTTATTATATAGATTATTTCATACCAAAAAATAAAATATAATATATATTTGATTTTAGAATTTAATTTGTTAATTATATGTGTATAATAATTTAACATATATAAAACTTTACTTTTCATATAGATATAGAAAATTGTATGTAACTGTACTACTAATAAATGAGTTCAAAAAATTTTAAAAGTCCTTATAAAAGAGTCCAAACAAGTTGTAAGTCAAATAGGAGTAAAAAACAAAAATTAGATAAAAGTATATAGGTGGATATAATTGACTTTATTATAATAATTAAGAATAAAATAGAAAATCAAAAGTTTTTTGTAGATGCTGACATTTATAAGTTGTATAGATATAAATTATTGCATTAGAGCATCTCCAACAGATGCGTCAAATGCCCAAAATAGCCTAATTTTGGCTAATCAAAGCCAAAAATAGCAATCCAACATATTATCTTCATATGCTGTAAAATAGATTTTTGTTACAGTGATGCTTTAAATATAGAGCATCACTGTAGCAATATGTAAACATAATATATATTATTTTGTCTCTCTTTCTCCCTTTCACTATTCCCAAAAAAATATAATATAAAAGAGATGATAAATAATATTTAAAAGGAGTGGTTAAAAATATAGAGAATCTGTTGGAGTGTGTATTGAAAAAATGAGTAGCTAAAACAGAAAAAGTTGCTTTTTGAATAGCTAAAATAGCTATTATTGTTGAAGACGCTCTTATATGGTGATAGAAATGTGAGCGTTTGCTTTTTTTTAGTTAACAATTTTATGGGATTATATACTTTAGACTAGTAGGATCAAGATGGATGAATAGATAACGCAGCTCTAATGATTTATTGGCTGTGATAAAACATTTGTATCAGTGTTATCTAAGGCATAAAGCGAACTGAAGCGGGACGGTCTCCTGAGGGCTTAGGCGAGAAGCGAATTGAACGTTTCTTCGAAGCGAAGTGAACAATATAAAAAATAAATAAATATTTTATTTTAATACTTTGATTCCTCCTAAATATTGAAGTTTTAACTTTACAAATATAAAATATTTAAATGCAACTAAAATAATAAACATCTACATATTTTAAATAGACAAGATATTAAATATTGAAGATTATTGCATTTTTAAAAAAATCAATTGACATAATCACGTCACCACTAAATAGAATACTCACAAATTGCTTAATCAAATAAAGCATATAGTAAGTTGGTTAATCAATTTGAACATCCTAAGTACCTAGAACCAAACTGAGTAGGAACATTTACCCGTATTTTGTCAAACACTTGTTGTATATCCTTGCATTATATTTTGATAGAAATATGGATGTGTAAGCATATGTTTTTCCAATCATATAGAATTATACACTCACTACGACTTAGGAATCACGGATGCAGACATGAGTGTTGTATTCGATACGATATAGACATGGGGATATGACAAAGTTTAAGATATAACACAAGGATATGACTGGTTAAAATAATATTATATATTTTTTAGAAAGCAATTGTAATATATTAAAAATAAAACTTTTTTTGTAACAATATAAATAATAAAACATTGCAAATATTATTATTAACTTTTTGGATAAAATTGAAATAGATCAAAATAAAATCCACCATTTTCATCATACATTATTACAATGATTAGCATTCATAGTCCATAAGTTATATAAAAAAATACAAAAACAAAATAAAGAAATCAAAAAAATACAAAAACAAAATAAAGAAATCATACACCTTCTTAATAGTTAATAGTTGTGAGATTAAAAAAAAATTCGGTCGTGTTCTACCTGTGTCTTGTCCGTGTTCGACTCAAAAAAAAATATAAATTTGTATTCAGGATACTTCTAACCTTGTTGGACACACATCTGACATTGTCATGGCACCCCTCCAACAAATAATCGTGTTTTCTGATTTATTGGTTGAGATAAAATGTATACATTTCTTTGTACTACTAATAAGATCAGTTTGTTTTCCTTTGCTTATTAAGGTCAGAATTCTTGGTTTCAAAAAAAAAAATTTAACAAAGTAAATGCTATTGAAGTTAAATAGAAAGAGGTCTCAATGGTGCATTCTTTAAGCAATTATAACAAGCTCGTTGGTGGCGGTTTTCCATTTTTTAAATTAAAAATTTTCTTGGATGACATAGAATTTTTTGATTTTTTCTTTTGTTTTTGGGTTGTTTTTTTTTTTTTTGAGGGGGAAGGAGGATTTACTTTTCAATTCATTGGCATGTAGTTTGAATTAGATATGGTGATTGGAAGCTTAAGGTTCTAATGTCACCTAGAGTATAGTTTCTGAGCTTAGTTGTTGTTGACGTTAAAATTTGGAGGTTCCAAGTTTGACTTGAAAAAGGAATCGACTAATGAAGGAGTTTCAAGAATCGACCTTCCTATGCTTGATTGAGTGAGGGACTCAAAGGTGTTGAATAGTTTATGAAGCTGAGAGTGACATATGATCCATACTTGGAGCTTTATTTATAAGTGCAAATGATTGAGTTGTATTAGAATTGGGGCTGAGCCTATTGATCACAACTTGATTAGGATTAGGCTTTTATCGTTATTTGTTAAGTTAGGTTTATCCCATCTGTAGATTCACTGTCTTTCTTTTGTTAGTACTAGGTCTCTTCCATGGCTTGACCGAGCTGATTCACATGGCATGAGCCATTGGACCAGAGCTATTTTGGCTGAGCTGATTTGGCTTGCCAAGAAGAGCTTGTTTGGCGAGGTTTTCAACTTGGCGAATGTTTCCTATGTCAACTTTGATCCTGAGTGTGCAATATGGGGAAATTTTATTATATTGATCTAACTCTGGGCACACCTTCCGATCTTATGTTCGTTTGGTTGAAGCATTCGAAAGTTAGCAAATTTGGATATCTTGATATTTATTGTACAAATCACATTAAGCTTATAAGCATCTCCGGTCAACTTTAGTAGCTACAATGAAAATAGAGGAATGTAGGTGTCATTCTTTTGTGGGGTAACATGGAGAAACATGATTCATGTAGCTGATCCCAACTATTTGGAATTAAGGTGTTGTTGAGTTGAGGTGGGTTTAGCATGGAGAGGACTACTTAGATGCCAATTGTTGAATGGAAATCAACATGTAAAGTAGAGCATAAGGGAGGTCTGAGAATCTGTGTCTATCAACTACAAATGATGTTCAATCTGATAATGGTTTTTTTTGGGTTTGCGATGAGCAAGAGATTGTTAATAAGATAATAACTATGAAGGACATTTTGTTCAAAATAGGATAACCAATAGATGTTAGGCTCACAAGTCATAAGTCTACAATGAATCTCACCTTGCATGATCTCAAATTTCTAGCATTGAAGTTTGAATTACTTTGGGCCATAGGATAGTATTTGGTACAATGAAAGGTGGGGATATTGCCAATTTACATTGCCAGAGTATACATGTTTTGATTAGCGGTGTACAAGCAAATTGTGCTGTACGTATACATCATAACTTTTGTTGTGTGGGTAAATGAGGACAGTAGGATCTGGTTATTTTAGGATCTTTATAATTAGTTAACTTATTTATAGAGGAGATTGTGATATGTTTTTCTAGCAGGGCTAAATTTGAAAACATCTTGCTGCTAGATGGGCTATCTTTGTTTTGGATTTGGTCCATAAATTTGTATTGTTGACCAAATATTTGAAATTTTTAAATTCGCTAATACCTTTTGCCTTCTGAGAAGGTTCATCTTACGCTCTTAGCTTGGTGTTGTTTCCCTAAGAGGTGATATTCGACCTTGTAAGGTTTTAGGCCCTTAGTCCAATGGGCAAGTTGTGTGGATCATTTTGTTATTTTGTGACAATACGTCTTTTCTTGAAATAAATGATGTGGAAAATCACTAGGCAAAGAATGTGGAGTTAAACCTTTGGATTGATGGTCTGTTTGGTTTTTTTCCCTCACTGAGTTATTTTTGTTTATTAAGAAAATAAAAAATAACTAGAGATCTCCATGTTTATTCTGTTTTAGCACGGACTTACAATTTTCAATCTCAATTTTGTTGTTATGCCTGTTTACGCTTTCATGCAATGTGGAAGTTTCTCGATCCTTTTTGAACTTATCTTTTACTTCTTTGAAAATATTAATGAACAAAGAGGATATCGTCCCTTATTCTCTGTAATTTCAGATGCACCATGAAAAAGAAAGTGGGCTGATTACAAGTTTTCATAGGATATTCAAATGCTTCATACCTAGTTTCATCTTTCTAAACTCTTGTTTTTTCGTTTTCTTCCGTATGAGTGTGTTTGGATTGTTCTTGAACACGATTATACACATTGAGTCGAGCCTAAGATGGGCTAGAGGCGGAGTGAATAGGTCTTTCATACTCGTTGTGGAACTTGAGCCCAATTTGGCCTAATTTCCTCAATTACAAATTGATCAATCAATTTTAGTTCAATTAATCCCTTTGCATGCACAAACCCTTGATTGAATAAATGGATTCAAGAATACCTAATTTAACAATTCATTGCAAATCCACTACTTATCCCTCCAAAGCCCTTTTACGGATTCAAGCAACTACAATTTGATCAATGCACAAACTTAACCATTCAAGCATTTGGTCAAAAACATAGTGTGTGAGGCACCGCAAGTGTGTGTATGTGTCAAGTAAAGAAATCAACCACCACAAAGCAAAGCAATTTAACCAAAAAAAATCCACTGTACACCTAGCCTAATCCATTGTACGCAATGTCGATTATAAGGTCAAAGACTTATACCTCCTCCGATTCCATGGTAACACACTTTCTTCCTTGAATCTTACCATTTGGATTCACCATTGTAAGGTTTTGAGCACTAGCTTCACTATGTGCGAATCAAGCTTCACGATCTGACTTCTCTTCTTTGATCCCGAAGGACTCCTTTCAAAATTTTCAACAGTTTTAAGGTTTGAAGGTGTAGAACAAGATGAATCTTGTTGATCTAGGCCTTTGGATGTTTAGGGAAGACTAGTGTTTGTTCTTGGCTCTCTCGATGAAAGATGGGTCTATTTTTAGGTTGTACATGCTTATCATAGTGAAAGAATACATACCCACATATGTAGGTCTCATAAATAGAGTTTAATAAATAGAGGCCAAGAAAAATCAAATTTGCCATGGACTCCTTGAGCTGTGAGAGGGCGGTCATTGGGAGGTGGTCACTGAAATGCAAAACGAGCAAAACAACACCTCTGGAGCAGGAACTGCTTGAGCCATTTGGTGGTCAGTCAACAGTCTCCACTGTCCAATTTTTCTTCTTCTTCCATTTAGTTTGAATCGTAGGCCAATGAACTTCCTATGGTCTTTATTACATTTTAAGCATCAAACCAAGCAAAAACTTGACCCATTGCGTACCAAGGGGCCTTGCTCAACAACGGTATGCTTCATGACTAAATTTATTTTTGTCAAACTAACATTTGAATTTTCAAAAATATTTTCAATAAAAATCCTAAGAGTCATTCATGGAATAATCCCAAATCCATTTATGAAACCTAAGTAGCCAAAGTAAAGGGTAACTTAAGGTATCTAGGTCATATACCTTTCCTAGGTTTTGAAGAATCTTGGGAAATCTTCATGGTGTGACTTTGTAGCTTGGACTTCTTCTTTCTTTTTTGCTTTGGATCTTCATCTTTATAGCTTCATGACCATGAATCTAGTTGAGATATACCTTGTGACCGCACAGAAATTTTCAATTACAATAATCAATTTCCTAAGACCATCCATTATAATAAATACAGCATTTTGGGCATTTAAGTATTATTCTTACTCATGTTTTCCGTTGACTGATATACAGTCAGCCCTTCCTCCAGAGCAACTTGCTTGGTGTGGCATGGACAGTGTGTTACTTTACTGGGATGATATTCTTTTAATGGTGGGTCCTTATGGGGATCCAGTGCGATACCTTTTTGACGATCCAATTATTCTTATCCCAGAGTGTGATGGAGTTAGGATACTTTCTAACACAAGTATGGAATTTCTACAACGAGTTCCGGATTCCACTGTATCTATCTTTCAGATTGGGAGCACATTACCTGCAGCTTTATTGTATGATGCTTTGGATCATTTTGACAGGCAGAGTGCCAAGGTAGGGCGCCTTTTCACTTAAGTGGAGAAGTTTATTAGCTCTGATATGTTTTTGATGTATCTTTTGTCTGTTTTATAATCTGATGTCATTGGCTTCAACTTATTTCCTTCTATCTGTCTTCTAAGATTATCACTTACCATTTACTCATACTCAGAAATGAAGTTTTGTAAGTACTATCTCTTTTCTGCTGTTCGCCTGTATTAAATCTTTTAGAGTTCATATATGTTGGATTTATCAAGCCATGCGCTGGCTTCCTTATGCGTACAGTGCATATTATACGTGGCCTTTTTTTGACAGACATATTCATATACATGCTTTGTAATATGATGGTACAACTTCTGTCGGATGATTTGTATCTGTGAAGGAATAGGGGTGTATTTTGCATCACTTCTCTCTCTCTCTATCTCTCTCTCTCTCTCTCATACATATACGTATGTAAATCTGATGGATAAAAAACTACAATATGCAAGAAAAGGAGAAAATATTCTTCAGGGAAAGGACAAGGTATCTTTCCTAAAATTGAGCTGAAACTACGAAACAATAAAATGCTCCCAAAACACAAACACTGGAAAATATGCTTCTATTCAACATCGTCTTCTTGTAGATCTTTACATTGCATCACTCTCACTTCCACACCCCCCCCCCCCCCCAAAAAAAAAAAAANGAAACTCCCAATGCACATGGTCATATATGCTTTTTCAAAATCAATCTTTAAAACCACACAGTTTTTCCTATTTGTTTTATATTTCTTCGTAACTTCATTCACAACTAGAACTATATTAGGAATTTGCATCCCTTTAACAAAAGTCCCTTGATATCTAGAAATAGTATCCCCCAAAACCTCTCTCAATCTTCTTGATAAAACTTTTGCTAATATCTTGTAAAGACTAGTCACTAAGCTTTTTGGTCTAAAGGCACTTTTCAAAGAATCATGCTTTTTTGAAATCAAACAAATGTATGTCGCATTCGTATTAACATTCACCACCCCATTTCTAAAGAACTCCAAGAATACCCTAATCATTTCATCCTTAATGATCTCCCAACAATCTTGAAAAACTGCCATTGAGAAACCATCCGACTTAGGTGACTTCTCTCTATTACACTAAAAAATTGCCTCCTTCACGTTGCCCTCTTCAATAGTCTTTCCAACATGCTCTCTCTCCACTAATTGGACTCCAATCGAAACCCATCACCCTTGGTATCTCAACTCCATCATCCGAATTTAACTTTTAAAAAAAACCTAATAATCTCTTCTTCATTTCTCCCTTCATTCTCTAATGCTATACCATCTCCCACATCCAACATTAAAATAAGATTTTTCTTTCTCCTCCATTTTGCAACCCTATGAAACAACTTAGAATTATTATCTCCCCCTTTAACCCACTTTGTTTTGGCCTTTTTTCTCCTTGAAATCTCTTCCTTAAACATCACTTCCTCAAATCTATTTCTAAGTATACTTCTTTTATTTCCTTCGTTAATTCCTCACTTCCCCCCCCCCCCCCCCCCCTAAAAAAAAAAGACAACTCTCTCTCTCTCTAGATGTACATTTGCATGTGCATATTCATATTGGTATTATAAAAAATGCTGTGGTAGAAATAATATTGATACAACATACGAAGGATGAGATATTTCTCCAAAATTAAACCACAAGTTAGGCAGCAACAGAGATCAGAGATCAGAGGTTGCAACACTCTCCTACAAGCTTTGACATTTGATATTTTTTCCTGGACAGCATTA